ATCAATTGTAAATATTTGAGAAATTGAATTGAAAGGGGTTTATATTCTTGATTCAAGTCGAATTACTATTGATGATAAATGTTGATATGATGTAACATATAGATAAGTGGGAATAGAGTGTACGACAGTTGTCTTTGAATGTTCGGTGATAAATGTTTATAAAGTTCTCTTGAATGTTCAAATGAATTTTGAGAAAATGATACTCTACTTATCATATTTTGGGCATGCAAAACGTCACCTTACTATATAGTATCACCTTGCATGGATGATCATTTCTATCTATGTGTTAGTTATTGTTTTAGAACTATGAGATTCCTACTAAGCATTAGTGCTCATCCCACGTTAATGAACTTCACATGTAATTGAAGATTTCAAATATTAGGACATGGAACAATCTTATGATTTTATTTTGAGGTTGTGAGATATACTCGTAGTTCAGAGATCAGTATTTTTTTTCATTGTATGTAATATGGATGTAAGCCTCAGGGCATTTCTTTTATTTGTATATAAATGACATTGTTGTGTAGTAAGAGGGAACATGTATATTTATTTATTCATCAAAAAATGAATTGTCATTTGTAAATGGACTAAATTAATGAATATTGGTAATGTTATCCGACTAATAAAATACAGGGCATTACACAGACGACCGATAAGATGAAATTCGAGCCATTCGGGCCAAGCTCAAATTTGAGCTACGTAGCAGAGCTCTTTTTAGATTCACTCAATTTAAATACACTTAAAACATATAAAATTTATGATCTTTTTTCTATAAAAAAAAAAACGCTAAATATTAAAAAATATACAAAAAATAAATTAATATATATTTTTTGTATTTATTAAATTTTTTAAAGATTTCCCAAGTTGTTTTTTTAAACTTTTTAAGTATATGTATCTGAAAAACAAGTGGCCAATTTCATTATAAATATAAAAAAATATATATGAGTTAAAAATTTAAAAATTATTTTTGAATAATTTTAAACCAACCAAAATTTTAAAAATTAGTTACTCATTCTACATTGATCATCCAAATTTAAATTTAACACATTTTTTTTCATAATTTTCATAAATATTTTTTTATTTATTCGATATACAAATTCTTAAATTTTTATATGAATTAGTAACAAATAACTTCTTTAAAAAGTTTCATAAATTTTTTTTTTTAAAAAAAAATTGATTAATTTGAAAATATGATGTACTGCATACTTCAACTTAGATATTGGTTCAGTTAATGCAGCTTTAGTAATAGAGCTAAAGTTGATTTGAAATAGTTTTGGAAATAGAAATAATTTGGAATTGGTTTGAAATATATTTAATATAATGACTTAAATGTTAATCCTTCATCAATTTTATTTGACATAAATAGACAAATAATTTAAATTAAAGGTTATATTGACACAATTAAAAACTTATAATTTATTTTATTAGAATGGTTAAACCATATATTTTTTTTAAAAAAAAATTCTATATTTTTAATTAAAAAAAAGAAAAAAATTTAGTGAAACTAATTGGTCATTTCCATAATGGATAAATTACAAATACATCCCTAACGATTTGCTTAAAATATAGATTGTTCTCTGTACTTTAAAAAATTACAAATGCCCACTTATCAAAATATTTTATTCGATAGAATTAAATCAAAAAAATAAAATTCCTTATTGATTTACCATACAGTAATAGAAAGGAAAATTAGTGAAACATATCTCTCCAATTTTCTAATTTTAAAATATAGTGTTGTCTCTTTAATAATAGATGTCTCTTAATTTTGTATTGAATCTTGTTTCGTAATAATTATTTTTTAGTCAATAATGAATATTTATAATGTATAAAATAAATTGATCATTCTATTTTATTTCATTCCAACAATATAAATTAGGAGAAATTATCCAAAAGAAAAAAAAAATGATCCTTCTAACAAAATAAATCTTGAATTTTTAATTTGATTAATTTAAACCTTAATATTTTGATTAGTTTTCAATCTAAATCATTTATCTATTTTTCTTAAGTAAAATTAACAACAAAAAAAAATGCATTTTAATTACCAAACTTAATGAAAAATGACATTAAATTTAGCAGAATTGGGTAGTTGGGATCAGTGGTTCTGGGGGACAATACAAAGGCAAATTATTGGGTTGGAACAATTTGAAATACAAAGCTTAGTCTAGTTTGATAAAAAAAAAAATTTAAACTATTCTAATATCATATGTATGCATTGTAATGTTTGGACCGGAGAACTCTCAAACAATGAAAGTATGTAAATAAAAACGAAAAATGTCAATAAAAAACACATAATAAGAAGAATATATAACAAAAATCGATGTGGTTGGGATCAGTGGCCGTGGGGGACAATACACAGACAAATTATTGGGTTGGATCGGTTTGAAATACAAGGCTTAGTTTAGTTTGATAAAAATAAAATAAAATAAATAATAATAATTAACTATCCTAATATCATATGTATGCATTGTAATGTTTGGACCACATAACTCTTAAGCAATAAAAATATGTAAATAAAATGAAAAATGTCAATAAAAAACACATAATAAGAATAAAATATAAATATCGATTATCATCAAAAGATAGAATGAACCTTATGCATTGTAAAGTTTTGGGCAATGGTAAAGTTTATTTGATCAAAACCGGATACCGGTCAATAAGGACTTTTAGCAAGTTGTTGCAGAGACCTAGGTGCTATGAAGTATTGACACTTCAAAATAAGTGTTGCAGTCATGTCGGATAAGAACACAATTGTCGTCAATTTTGTTGGTGAAAAAGTAATAAATTAAATAAGGTATAGTTATCAAATGGACTTAATTTTTTGTGTAGATGAAATACACAAAGTACTTGATAAAATGAACGATTCAAATTATCGAAACGGGGCATGTGGTAGGCCTCATGGGCCAAAACAATGGCTCTAATCCAATTTTTTAACTGGAACGGATCTTCCTCTTAATTCGATTCCCTATGCCCTATCAAACCTCTTAAATTAGAGAGAGAAGAAAAAAGAAAAAAGAAACACAATCGCTAATGTAGTTATTTTATATGAGGGAATTCTCTCCGGGCCACTCTTAAATTAGAGAGAGAAACAAAAAACCCGATCACTAACGTAGTTATTTTATATGAGGAAATTCTTTTCAGTCCATAATTTGAACTGAAGAGTGATATTTAGTCTTGTGATATCTATCATAGATATCGTTTTGATAATTCGAACTATTAAGTATGTTGGACATTTCATTTTTTTCTTTCGTGAACATAGAAAAATTATATCGATTCAATAATCATAACCTATTTAATTTGCATTTGTCACAAAAAAAAAAAAAAGGACAATTGTAATCTATTCAATTTAAATTAATTTTACAAACCTGTATCTCAACTCTCCGAAAGCGAGCTATGCTCCGTCCTCATGCTTCAATGCATAATATTATAGTACATAATATTTTAATTATTAAAGTATTTGTAATAAGTGAAATATTATTATATATTTTTATGTATGTTGGAACGTTAGATTGGATGACTTTTTAATACAATTTTTATTTCATAAAAATTAGTTCGCTCACATTTAAAATATATATATATATAATAATAATAATTGGAATTCCAAATTATATTATACTATTAATTTTACATTTGACTTAAATTGATTACATCAGCTCAACACAAATTGCTTATAAAGTGATAAAATTTTGGTTCGGTCCGACCTGGGCCAATGCCCAACTCCTACCCGACCAGTTGGAGAAGTTATAAATAGGAATGGCAGTGAGACAAGAAGGGTGAGTTTTACACTCTCTGTTCCCAATCTCCAATTATTATTATTTTTTTCCATTTCCATTCCTCATCTCTAACGAAGACCGTTTTTATTCCACCGTCTCGCCTCTAATGGGGTTCGGTTTTTCCTGCCCCACAAATCCCTGACCCATTTTCGTGATCAGGAATGTTACATTCATCTAATTTGGTCCCGTATGAATTGAATGAATTTGTTCACACTAGTCATCTAGACGACAGGATGACAACTGCGATAGACGAAGGTGAAACCAATCGTCCAGCTGGCACAAATTCAAACGATTCGAGTGACAACAAATTCGATAAATAAATCATTTCACTTATGTGATCTATTCAAAGTTACGTTGTTTCAGTTTATATCCCCATAACGAACAAAAAGATAAAAAGAAAAAAAAAATTAATAAGAGCATAAAGTGAATGAAAGGGACTTCATCAAAGATTAAAAATATACAGTTTTTATTATTTATTTATTTATTTATTTTTGCTTTCAATATTTTCAACTTTCTTTTATTTTAAAATTATTTTAATTGAAAAAATATTATTTTTTTATATATAAATTAAAAAAAATGTTAAAGACAAAAAAAAGTGTAAGGCCTTAATTATAAATTAGATTACATAGACTTGATTATGAAGTTGAAAGGCTTAAATAAAATAATTTTAAATTTACATTAAAAAGTTTGAACATCGCATTCAAATAGAATGAGAGGGTTTAAATAAAAAAATTAACAGTGTGATGATTAGTTACTAAATTTAATGGACAGAAATGAAGGGTAGACAGATGTGGTGGCTGTTAGTAATGGGCAGTCGAACTTATTTGCCGAATTTAGTAGTTGGACGATGTCGAAGGATATGAGATGACCTGACCTGAAGAATACCAATTGATAATTGAAAATCACAATGGCGATCACCCACTTGCTAGAGAGTTGCCAGAGTTTGGTCGGAACTCGCCATTCATTGATAGTTGCGGTAAGTAGTGGCTAAAAGTGAGGAGTGAAATGAGAAAATAAAAAATTATTTAAAAAAAAATGAAAACAACTTATATATATACAAAAGCATAAAGATAAAACTAATATCTATATTATAAGACAGAACAACTTTTGAAAATATGTTAAAATGTATTTATTTGAACAAATTTTGAAAATATGTTACATTTTGTTTGAATGAGTAAAATAATTTCTAATCAATATCTGCGGTTGAGTTTAATTTTTTTTCCGCCCAAACACTCTCTAGTCTCTCTCCCACGTCTGCCAAACGTCTCTTAACTCCCTCTCTCCACTTGCTCTCTCACGCTCTCTTTCTCTCTCTAGGATTCTCTCTCTCGATCCCTAATGCCGCCGTCGCACCACCGTTACCAGAACCACCGCCTCCTTCACAACCACATCAACGACGCCCCTCTTCTGCAGCAGCGCCGTAGTCCGCATCTGCCGCTCTCTGAAAATTACTCGGCTGGGACTCACTGCTGAGCTTGGCCTCTCTCTGAAATTCATCCTTATCCCTACATTCCCTCTCTAATCTCTCTCTCATGGCGTCGACTCTCCGCCAACATTCCCTTCTCCATCCCCTCGCTCCGATCCAAACCCCCACAAATTCGCCTTTCAAAACCCTAAAATCTCCTCCCGATTGAGACGATCATCCTACTCTCTCTCATCAAGCCCTCACTCTCTCTCTAGGGTTTCCGATTCTGCACTCTGTCGGTGCCACAGGAACAACGATGACTCGGCCTCAGCTTCTCCATCGGATAACTCATCCTCCGTTAACCGTCGGTGGGATTCGGTGATTCAGGAGGTGTTGAGGAACGCGGTTAAGAACCGTAACCAGTCGAAAGGTGTATTGAAGAGTGTTGATGTTTTCGAGAGAGGAAGTGAAGTGGTTGATGATGAAGACTGGGATTGGGACCGGTGGCGGAAGCATTTCAGCGAGGTCGATGAGCAAGAGCGTATTGTATCGATTTTGAAGGTCATCCAACGGTTGCAGCAAGTAAGCATTTCAGTAATTGTTTTCACTGTTGTGATAGATTATGGTACCTGTGATATATTTATTTAAATTTGTCCTATCTACTTAGACTCTCTGGAAATGAGTACTTGTTTGTATCAGTATATTATGTCCGTAGAGTTTAGATTTTAGATTAAAAAGTCCTTCGATTAAACTGAAGAGAGTCCACTCCCATTAAGCCATTTGGTTGCTTCCATGTATAAGGCAATGGTGTAATATTACGAAGTACTCAAGTTAAATCAACATAATGGCTATATAAATAAATTTTTGATTGCCGTTATATAAGTAACTTTTCCATATGATTCTGTAGATAGCACAGAAAACAAAAGAATTTAGACAGGAAGGGAAGAAAAGAAGATAAAGAACAATGATATATGTGCGTCGTTAATCATTTTTTTGAAGTGGACACGGCTGGTGAAAATTGTCCGATTAATTAGACTTTTAGATTCATATCCTGATAGAGTACCAAAAAACAATTGAATGGGATTCAGTATAATACAGTGGGCATGTATAGCTTTGTGATTTGCAATTCACTAATCTCACACAGGTACTTGCCTTGTGTTGTGGTTGTTTTGTAAACCTTTAGTTTCAGAGGCTCAAGTCCTCTTATTATCTAGTTGATGCTAAAAAGAAATGCTAAAAAGAAATTAGTTAATTAAAAATATTGTAATGAATATCTATTTGTAAATTTACTTCTGTTAGTATTACAGACTAAAAAATATATTGTAATTTAGAAGCTTGATGATCTTTCCATTTGTTTGTATATGTTTATCTTTCTTCGTGCTCTATTCAATGACCATATGTTCTGTTCTTTTGATTATTGTATTCCTATGAAAGCTATATTTGTTGTGCCTAACCGCTAATTGTTGGTTATTGTTCTAATCATACTGTTCTTTTATTAGGTGGAATCAAGTCCATGACCATGGAACTACTCCCCTTTGCATTGTTGATAGTGCACAAAATGCTGTTTCCATGAACACTTCTCTGAATGATTACTACGGTTCAAGATTTCAATCACAAAGTACAGGGATAGTACTTAGCAATGAAATGGGTGACTTCTCCAGTTCTAGAAGTTTTTCTCCACCACCCGCACCTTCCAATTATATCCAACCATTCAAAAGGGCATTGCCATCAATGACACCCACCATTGTCCTAAAGGTCATCATATTGCTTGCACACTTTGCACGCATTTTCTACCATTTTTTTTTTTCCTGAGAAAAAAATGAAAGTTGACATGAAAAATTTGTTTGTCAAACTGCTTTTTGGGGGGGGGGGGAGGAGAATTCAGTTACACCCCCTTTATAAAAATAAAAAAACTTATTTAAATTTTCTTTTTGAATTTTTAAAAATTGTTTTGCACACAAAAATTAAAACAATGTGAAGAGTAGAGATGCGTTCAATTTATTTATTTATTTTTCTGAAACAAGAAAACTAGAACTTTAAAAATGAAAAAGATACCAACCTTGTTCTTTCAAATTTAGCATAGAAATGTCTCATAAAACTGTTATTTTGCACAATATATAAAGAGGAGAAGCATTTTGAAGTATTAATTGTCTGACTTCGCAATCATGATTACTTATTGTGCCTTTGCAGGGTAAAAAACTGAAAGCAGTTTTAGGTGGAGCTGGAGGAATCAACATGACAACATTCCTACTGCAACGACTCAGGTTTTCTTAAATCATTTGGTCATGGGTTTGTATCCACTCTCCTCTATAATGGCTCTGAGATACTTTCATACAGTTAGTTATCAAAACCACTTACTTTCGATACATTTTATAAAATGTTACAGTGACTAGCCATTGAACCCCTTCTAATATGGTAGAATACGGTTTGTGCAGTTAATTCCCAATGCGCTGTATTATGGACATCTTCTCTTGGTGACCAGTATGCAGCCATTGTCAATGCTCAAGAAGAAGGGCCATGCCATGCCCTACACTCCGTAGACGGTAGGACTATTTGCCAGCTCGTTGCTCAAAAGTTGGAGGGTCCAAACTTGGGGATGCTCGCGGCGGCTAACGACCCAAGAAAGGGTGGGTTTCCAGCTGGTTACTGAGTTTGTGGAAAATTAACTTTCTTGGAATTCAATTGACTCATATCCTCTCATTTAGCAGACTTCATAATTTCTCATTTAGCAGACTTCATAATTTCATTTTGTTGCACTTGTTTCATTGTGTGGAAATATTAAACCAATATGCACCATGGTTGTTACAAACTAAGATAATTAAATTCACGAAATGTACTGAATTACTATGCACCCTGTTTATTTTCAGACATGAAGATTATTTTTATTTATTTATTTATTTGTTGTTGGTTTGATATTGTATTTGCATGAAAATGATGGATTGATTTTAATTATTTTAATTAGTTGTGTATAAAAGGTTTACGGTTTTTATATGTATTTATTTTATGGTTGTAATCACACTCATAGATATATGAAATTAAAATAAATTAGGAACCCATAGATAATTCTGAATACTCTACCATGACTCTATGTATTATTGTTTTATTTGAGTGTTAGTGAGAAAAAGTATAAAAAAAAAAAAAAAAAAAAGGGGGGATCAAAAAAATAATTGTAAGTGCAAAATCCACTTCCCTTGATTCATGTTTATTTCATTATTTTTATTTATTTATTTATTTGTTGTTGGTTTGATATTGTATTTGCATGAAGATGATGGATTGATTTTAATTATTTTAATTAGTTGTGTATGAAAGGTTTACGATTTTTATATGTATTTATTTTATGGTTGTAATCACACTCATAGATATATGAAATTAAAATAAATTAGGAACCCATAGATAATTCCGAATACTCTACCATGACTCTATGTATTATTGTTTTATTTGAGTGTTAGTGAGAAAGAGTATAAAAAAAAAAAAAGTGAGGATTATGAGATTTATTTAAATGTCCTAGGCTTGGCATTGTTATGTTTGCTCTCATGAGTAGATAATGGATTGCGTATGTATATTGTTACCTCGTTCTCAGGAGTAGACGAGTGCTTTGATTTACGTGCGTACGTATATGCTAACCATTCAGGGAGTGGGTCAAACTCAGGACAATATCCCCTTGCAAGTTTGGCTTCGGAGCGGTGTTAGGTATACGCACATGGGATATATACGTAGGCTGGAAGTGAAGGGTTGAAGTGGCGGAGTTAAGGTACAAAGAATTAAATATGAACTTATTAGTATAGTTTGAATTGTATTGATTTTGTACATATTAGAAAATAGTAAATGACCTCAATAAATTACAAAATTTGGGCAGATGCATGTATACATAATTTTAGACAATTTTTGTATTTTAACTTTGTACTAAAAAGATCAATTAGAACTTGTAATTGGATGCTCTTGATTACAATAGTTGTTATTAATTTTAGCAATGCGGATTTTAGATACTATTTTAACTCACGAAAAGAGCTCATTTTATTAATTTTGTGCAAACTAAATTAAAACATTATTCTGAACACTTTTCGTGTTTTGAACTTTTCAAAAAAAATTATCTTAGAGCAGTTTCTTTTCGTTTTCAGTTTCAGATTTTTTGGTTAAATTTCATCTAAGTTCTTCTATTAAGTTTTTCTATCAACCTGTTTAGTTTCTACTAAATCCTTCCACGTTACCTTTTATAAAATTTAATTCTGTACAACGTTTGTTTTTTGAGTTTTGGTCAATTCGAATGATTTAAGCATGAAACGATGCATTTTTATACTTCTTCAGCAATTTACTTATGATTAAATTATACTCACTTTATTTTTTTCAGAATGGTGGGTCTTACTAAATTTTTATACAGGGCTGATCCACCATATTTTTATTTTTATTTTGTTTATTTTATACTCAATTTATATTTAGTTGTGTGCGGGTAAGAAACTAAATGCCATCGTATCTCGGGAAACTACCCCTTCGTCTCGGTACGGGTGAAACTATTTGTCTTGTCCCGTAACAAGAATTATATGTACTTTTGTTTTTTTCTGGTGGACACATGGGTGTCACATCTTATACTCATACTAGTATACTTGTATACTGATCCGTTTTATCTCTTGGCATCTTGGGTGCGTTCTATTTAAGCACAGCGGAGCTTCCTTTGCAGGATTAGTTAGGGCTACAGTGGTGACGAAAAATAACTATAATTGTTGGACATGTCTCTTGGACTTCTTTTGTTTTCTTGAGTTTAAGGTTGATATTAGTTTATGTATTTATTATTTTTTTATGGCCTTAGTATTTTAATAATTTGGCATTGTGAGTTATTTTCCAACTTTACATTATTTAAGATTGCTTTGACAAGTTGTTGCTACTTTAATGTTGGAGGTATTAGATAGTTATGAATTTATGATTTATTTCGGGACATTACAACATTTGTCCGAGAGAGTGGACCTTCCCTATCTTGGGTGCGTTCTATTTAAGCACAGTGAAGCTTCCTTTGCAAGATTAGTTAGGGCTGCAGTGGTGACGAAAAATAACTATAATTGTTGGACATGTCTCTTGGACTTCTTTTGTTTTCTTGAGCTTAAGATTGATATTAGTTTATGTATTTATTATTTTTTTATGGCCTTAGTATTTTAATAATTTGGCATTGTGAGTTATTTTCCAACTTTACATTATTTAAGATTGCTTTGACAAGTTGTTGCTACTTTAATGTTGGAGGTATTAGATAGTTATGAATTTATGATTTATTTCGGGACATTACAACATTTGTCCGAGAGAGTGGACCTTCCCTCAATTTCTCCCCCTTATTGCAAAGAATGGATGACCCTGAGAGAGGAGTGGATGATGGTGAAATTGTAGCGGAGAGAGAAGCAACGGTGGTAGATTTGGAGCTCGATTGGGCAAAAGGCTGACTACTGGCAAAGGCTTTGGTTGCAGCAGCTTTTTCTACAGTTCTAATCTTTGCCAACTTGCCCAAGTTAACCTTGACATCCATCTTCCCGAATGGATCCATCTCGGTCAAATTTTTCAAATTCCCAAAAATCCTCGAAAATTCAAACTCTTTCCAAAAGAATCGGTATTCTCCAGAGATCAAAAGGACGCCGGAGCAATCTTCAACTTCAACCTCCTGGACTAAAAGCTCCCCCTTAGAAACAAGCTCAAGGTTTTCTCTTTTGCCAAGTTTCTTGTTGGCAGGATAAATTATGCCGATAAGAGTTTGATCTCCGACGAGACCCTCACCTTGAACTTTTCCAGCCTCTGCGAGCTGATACTTGTTGGATAGAAGGTTGTAGTAGCAAATGGCTCCATGGCGATTGCAAGCTTTGATTGTTCCACTTTTAGCAGTTGGGATATGTTCGGCAATAAAGTAAGTCATGTAAGAAGGGAAGTAATTTAGCAAAATATACGCCGATCTCCCTTGATAACGAAGTTCCTTTCCACCAAGATAATCCAAAGCAATTTTTATCTTAGCACGAGTGTCAGGGTCGTCAAGAGTAATGTATTTCTTGGTTTTGTAATCTGCACAAAGCGACGACACCATTTAGTATATAAATTCAGGGCTAACTACAAATATAGCTAAAATCAATGCTTTCTAAACAATCTTAGAAGGCAATCAACTTGGATTCCCTCTTCTACGTGAAATTGGATTGCTTTGGTCCTCCTCTGGAGTGAATTCCCAATTACTTAAAACAGCTACCATGACATCATCATTTCTCTTCCCAAAACTGGACAACATGTGAATCAACTGATGGTTACGGTCTCGAAAAGTACCTCTCATGCCGACCAGATGACCTCTGAAGGCTATAACAATGTTGAATGGCATCTAAACCTCGGTTGATATTAAGGACTTGATTTAGGGTCACTATACCTATTACTATCCTAAAGAAATTTACATTTAGCTAAGATGGGATTAATCCCCAAAATCTTAGGGCTTCACGAAGAAGTGGATGTAGTGGAAATTGAACACCACCCTCCATAATAGAAAAAAAGGGAAACATATAATTTCCTTATCCTCGAATTGGAGTTTAGAAATGTCGTCATCAATGAGAGCCAACTGAACATCCTCAGGAATGCGGAAATGACTTCAAAAGAGATCATGCTTTGCTTCAGAGAGAAGCCCATACAAGGATTTTGCTATTTTTTTCTTGTTTAAACTACTTAAACTAAAGGAAGCAATATAGCAGAGAGAAGACTTACAGACTAAAGAGCTTGAATCGCCGAACAAAGAAAGGAAGAACTCAAAACGCTTGAACTTCGAAAACATTAGTGAGAGGTTACAAAGGCAAGAAGATGTAAGAAAATGAACGGTCTAGTAAAATGAGGGTATGTATGACATAAATACCTTTTTTGCCCCCGGTTTTGTTCTTTGAAAAAAATGAAGGGAAGTTTTGAAGACGTAAGTGAAATTTGAGGCAACAAAGGAATGAAAAGGTTGTCGACGTATTTAATGCTTCTAATCTAATCACGTGAGGACACCTGTCCATAGCAAACTCACTCGAAAGGGAAAAGTTACGATGAAAGCATTCTGCATTAGACGTACCATGCCGACCACACAATACAAGCGCCTATATTGGAGTTCCGAGGGGGGGCAATTGTGGTATCGTAAAGTGTCACAAGCTTACATAGGCCAAATACGCATGTGTTGAGATAGAGTTGTTAGCATCGGCGAAATATGTGTATGCCAAGATGGAGTTGTCAAAAGATGATTACAAAAAAAGATGTCAAATCAGTAGAAGAGAAATTAATAAGATGGGACATGTTCAGACCAAGGACAATGATGCAAAGAGAGGGAATTCTTATAAATAAAAGATCTGCACCTGAAGTAAGGGTAGGCGAGAAAAAAAACAAGAGAGAGAAAGAGGACTTATAATATTGAAAGAATTCTGATAAAATCTTCGGAAGGTTCACTCGGCGCACCATCTCGCCGAAACCTTTTCTTTGTTTGCAAGAATACGATGTGAAGTGAATCATTCTCTTAGTAGCAACAAGGCAGAAATTCCAACTCACCACATTAAACAAATCATGTTACTGATCTTGATTCATACTTAGCTCGTTAAAAACTCATTTGGGATCAACTTGTTATAGGAACAAATCAAACTTGACATATTCTAAAGCTTGTTAAATGTTTAAATCAAGTTTGGACAACTTACTACTTGGCTAGAAAAATTTACATATATTATAAA